TTAATTTTAACTGGTTAATGAATTTAACCAATTTAATTGAAACTTAAATAGCTACTTGTGTCTGGTGGCTACCTTATAGGACAGTGAAGAAATAGACTTTCATTTACCCCTAGATGGTACTGATGCATAAATGCTCTTATAAGTAATAACTGTTAGAATTCCATATAAATGAGAAGAGATTCTGGCTATGTAATTTGGAATGCCATAGCCAAAGAAAAGAATAGAATAAAAGGAAGTCTAAAAGAGAGCCAGTCTTCCTCCTGAATACGCTAAGCCTCGGACCTCACATTCTTTTTCTTTTCTGTAAAACAATCTCTGGATATGTGCCATCCACCTGGACACATCACAACAAAGAAATTAGCTTAGGTTGTATGATTGCATAAGCCAAAAACAGAAACAGAGCACAGGAAATGGCAGGAGGTGCTCCCCAAAAGGCTTCATTAGGATAAATCTCATCTCAGCTGCAGCAACCTTGCCTCCCAGCACTAATGAGACAGCTATGACTCAGACTGAATTCTTGAATTCATGCCAAAACCCATTGATACTCACATCCAGGCTCTCACCATGTAGCCTCTTGTTATTATTTGTGGCATTGAATCTTTCCTCAGAACTATAGGGAATCAGCCATTCGGCTCTAGGCCTGGTAGGTAAATAGCAAGGGACTCTGGGTCTCCTAGGGACAAAAGTGGGTGCTGTTGCTTTGGTGCAATTGTCCCACCTGGGAAGAAGGCCCCCATCTTGGTCCTTCCCCACCCTAATCGCCCAAGCGACTGTCAGACCTGGGGACGAAGGAATACCCTACAAATCTGCCAGTCATAACTTAGTGTGCCAGCTGTAAAAGAACACAAAGGACTCTCTAGCCCAGGGGCCAAGCAACACAGGTACCACAGAGTCCGGAAATTGACCTAGAACAACCCAAATGTGCAGTACTGCAACTCCCAACTGTTCAATCAAAGTGGTTCCATGGTGACATCTGAGCCAGTAGGGAGGTCCCAATCTGAGCACTATAAAACAAGACTCAGACCATAACCAAGTCCCTGTTTTTGTGCCCTTCCTTTTGCTCTCCCTTTGCTGTGACAATGGGTCCAGTTGTCACCTGTGGCTATGTATCACGCTCTGTAAACCTACATCTTGCTCTTCTTCTATAATCCTGTCTTTCTCTCCTCAACAAACCTCATTTTTGTGCTTGCCTTACTTTGACATGTCTGGTCATTCTTAGGGTGCCCTAAGGGCTGACATTTTCAGACTGAAACCTGACAGGCCCATCCATAGAGGGTCCTCTCCCAAAGCTGTTGCTACTAAACACACAAAATGTATATTTCCTTTAGGAATGTAAATGAGTGTTTACATCAGAGTTACATTTTGCAGACAATAGGCATGGTTCTGTGAAAAGAGCATTGGACTTAGGGTCCGGAGAAATGGGTTCTTACCCCAGCTCTACCATTAGCCAGTTGCCTGTGCAAGTCACACAACTGTCCTGGGTGTCAGTTTCCCCAATGGCAAAAGGAGAGTGTTCAACCCCATCGAAATTGAGATTCCTTCCTGCAGTCTAAATGAAAAGATTGAGTTTTCCCAGAACTGGCACATATAAACAGGTAGGAGATGGGACAGATTAAGGTTTCTGTTTCTGTGCTGACGGGTCTTTGTAATAGGTCAATCCCAGTAGAAGGAAAACTGACCACAAACTAGTAACCGGGGACTTGATGATGAAAGTAGCACTAAATAGAGACTCCAAGAACAAGATATTGCGTCAAGATTACACAATTCATCACAATGCATCATGAGAGTTTCCTCATTAACATGGAGAGAAATGCAGCACTAACCTGGCAGGCCTGATGGGGATTCAATAGGTCAAGAGCTCCTCCTCTTTTTGCTCCATCTGGAGCTTTTCAACCTGGTCGTGGTGGATGGCAATTTTGAGCCCTCGGTGTCACCATAGGCATTTTCCTTCCATACCAATCATTAATACTCCTGCTTCTCTTCAGTCCTCTGCAGTCCATCCTCCATGACTTGCTTTGTAGTTTATGGAAGACTAAGCACACCTGGTTTCCAAAAGTGTTTCTGAGTCATTTCTTGGGGTTTGTATCTTCTCTTTAAAGACAATATTTTATTTCCCATCAACATAAATATCATTTCCATAAATGGAAATGTCTTCTACTCTACAGAGTATCTGAAAAGTTGGAAATCATAGAATGAACTTATTTTAAAACAGCATGTCAGTTATATTTTCAAATGGTAGGAACTAAATTTAAAACTATGAATTGAATTGTTAGTTGAGAAAAAATTACAATAAATACACTACTGAGTGCCCAAAAGTCTAGAAATATAGGCAAAATCATGTGTATTGTATGTTATATAGATGGGGAAATTGAGCTCAGAATGGCTAGGGCTCAGAGTTGGCAAATACTAGATCACATCTCAAATTTAATCCCATGTTGGTCTGCCACCAAAGCTATGTAGTTTGTCCCACATTAAGTATTAATATAAGCATCTCAAATCAGAACCAGCTCCCTAACACAATTATATAATTTTTTTCATTGGGAGATTATAACTAACAGCCTAAAACACTAATCAACCCACCTTGAAGGTGATTGGATGAAGTGGTCTAAATGCCTTTTTAAAAATAATTTTTATTGTGTATTTTGAGGTTTACGACATGATGTTATGGAATATATATGGATAGCACACAAAGGACTAGTCAAGATGAGAACAATAATTTCTTCGAGTGGAGCAATGTCAGTGGATTCTGATGTTGCTCCATGAATTAATATAACGTGTTTGCAGACAGGATTTGTCTTAGGAGTTTTGCAGAGCTTTGCCCTGAAGGAACATGTGAACATGTTGGTTTGCATTTCAAATGCTGTCGCATTCAGAAGGGAGTCTCTGAAAGACAGTAGCAGCTGTATCTCACAAGGCGCCACATTTCTCAGACCTAAAGGTTTGGATTTGCTTTGTAAAGCAAAGCAAATCTGTTAAAAACTACAGGATGAGAGCTGACAATGGAGTGCCCCCGGAACACACAGCTACCCGAATGGCTAAAAGCAAGCTCTTGTTTAAACACTCCAGACTACCGGTCTGCATTCACAATAACCTAATAAATATGGAGTCAATGTATCTCGGTTTAACCTCTTTGTTAAGTGATAAATTTACCTTAGAACTTAGAAGTTAATCTTTGAAAGATTTTGTAACCATTTGTTCCCATAGATAGAATTAAAGGATCTGTAGAAGCCTTCTGAAAATCTGTTAACCTGAGAGGAACTACCTGTTGTTATGTAAATTTGTTACCCCTGGCAACTAATCACTGTTCCCTGTAAGTTACCATGTAAGACCTCATTCGGAGCTTTTTGAGACCCAAGAAGAAGTTCTAGGCCCCCTGAGATCCCACTTTGCCTATAATCTTCATAAACTTATAAAACTATATCTTTGTCTGTGTATTCTTTTATTTCTTTTATTTTCCATTTTTCTCTATTATTTTCTTATCCCTTGCAACTCTACCAAAGGGACCTGGTTTTTTCCTGGGAGCTTAGCTACCTCCCCGCATTCTGAAAATATCATACAGCAATTTCTGCTGCACTGAATCATCACCAAAGAGGTTCTAGAAGACATATAATTTATTCTGCCTGTCACTGTCAAAATATATCTGCTGCCCTTTAAACATTTTACTTTTAAAAATCACCTCTATGAATACACATTATAAATATGCATTTACTACATCCCTGATGAGGGTTTGCCTTTATGTGGCTATAAATGTGTATATGTGGCACATTTGTATACCTATTTATTTTGTTCCATGGTGAATGTGTTTATTCAGGCAGTTTCCAACACAAACTACAAACAGGAAGTACATGTGAAGAAAAAACAGGGCGTTTAGGTGTGGAATGCCACACCTTCTGGCTTCAATTCAGGTCATGGACGAAGTTGCCAAACTAGGGAGACTCTGGGCCTTTAATTAGTGTTCAGAAGTATCATCCCTGCCCCCTAAGTAGGGGAGACTGAAGCTTGTACTCCCAGATAAAACTGCGTGTGCACCTTTATTTATAGGGTGGGATTTCGGCAAGTAGCTTAACCTCTCTGGGCTCAATTTTGAGATTCTAAAATAAGAACAAAAATATCTGCCCTTTTCTCCCTCATAGGATTATTGTAAGATGTCATTATAATATTACAATGCAAAAATATTTCTTTTATTACAATTATCTTTTTTTTAAAATATCAGTTAAACATTAAATGGGCTTCTTTAAAATGACTCCGTCTCACAAACTAAAATATCGTAACGCTGAATTCCAAAGTAATTTATAAACCATCTTTGGGAACAAGCCTTCTAATAGCTAAGGGTAGTCTGCGTGGGCTATTTTGCATGGTTGGGAGGAAGGGCTGTAGGTCGTATGTTCCCTGAGACCCAGGGCAGCAGCTCCTGTTTTTCTGTAATCCAGGCCCACTGTGATTCAGTGTAACTCACACCGTAAGTCCTTGTTCTACGGTTTGGAGGACAAAGAGGTGGAAATCACTCCAGAGCTTTCTACTGGAGTAATAAACACTGAAAAAGAAATATAGAGAGAGAGAATTTAAAAAGGTTAACCAACTCATACACTAAAAACTTGGTTAAGAGGATGAATTTCATGTTTTATGGTTTTTGCCGCAATAAAAAAAAACAGGCCCCGCGCGGCCCCTCCCACGGGCCCGGGCCCTGGGCGTGTTCCTGGCTGCTGCGCCAGTGGCCGGGGCGGGGCTTGGCCGAGGCGCGGAGCTGCGGGGCGCCGGGGCTGACGGGCTCCGCGCGCAGGTGGCTCCTCCCCCGCTTCTCCGGATCCCGGGACCGCCAGGCAGTGTGCTGGCTTCCGAGGGAGCGCCTTTGTGCCCGGCTCTGGGAGCCCGTGACAGCCGCTGCGCGCCAGGGTCCATTGTTTCGCTTCTCTGTCTCTTCCAGAGATGCCGCAGGCGCGCGGGGTCCTCACGTGCCACCGCGGCGGCTGGAGCGCTGGGACCCGCGGGCGCTGAGGGAAATGAAGCACCTAAAGCCGTGGTGGTCAGCCGGCGGCGGCCTCCTGCATTTCACCATCCTGCTGAGCTTGGCGGGGCTCCACGTGGACCTAGAACTCTACCTGCTGCTGCCGCCGCCCGCCCTGCTCCGGGATGAGCTGCTGCTCCCCGGCGGCCCGGCCAGCTCCACCCACGCGCTCTGCCCCTTCCCGGCCTCGAGAGGGTGGGAGCGCGCCGGCTGGCTGCACCCCAAGGGCCGGGAGCCGGACCCCGCAGCGGCACCCGAGGGCCAGCTGCTCCGGGAGGTACGCGCGCTAGGGGTCCCGTTCATCCCCCGCGCCCGGATGGATGCGTGGCTGGTGCACAGCGTGGCGGCGGGGGACGCGGACGCGGCCCACGGGCTGCTCGGCGCCGCTGCCCCGTCGGCCGGAGGAGTTGGCGCCAGCTTGGATGGCAGCAGCCAGGCTGCGCAGCGGGGCGGCGGGGACCCGCCAGCGACTCAGAGTAGCCCCTTGGCCGCTGAGGAGAAGGAGAAGGCACCCGCGGAACCGACGGCTCAGATGCCAGACGCTGGCGGATGCCTGTGCAAGGAGAATGAGGTACTAAGAGAGAAGTGGGAAGCTGTGGCTCACAGTTCCCAGCAGGAGGAAAAGAAGAAAGGGTGTTAGCCCAGAAGGAGACATCACTACAGCAGAATAATGAAGAGGAAAACAAAATAGCAGATAAACCTGACTGGGAGTCAGAAAAGACCGCTGAGTCTAGAAATGAGAGACATCTAAATGGGACAGATACATCTTTCTCTCTGGAAGACTTATTCCAGTTGCTTTCATCACAGCCTGAAAATTCACTGGAGGGCATCTCACTGGGAGATATTTCTCCTCTTCTAGGCAGTATCAATGATGTCATGAATTCTTCAGCACATTATAATGTAAATTTTCGCCAGGCTATAAGTCACGAAGTGAATCTTCATGAGGCCATGTTGCTGTGTCCCAAGAGTACATTCAAAAGAGATCCAGTAACAAAGGCTTCACAGGCACAAGAACCGTTTCTGCAGTTAACTTCTCATACCGTCAATCCTGAGCAAACCCTTCCTGGAACTAATTTGACAGAATTTCTCCCACCTGTTGATAATCAGACGAGGAATCTAACAAGCCAAGACCTACTATGTGACCTTGATGTAAATATATTTGATGAGATAAACTTAATGTCATTAACCACAGAAGAAGATTTTAATCCAATGGAAGTTTCCCAGCTTTTTGAAGAACCAGATTCTGATTCTGGCCTTTCTTTAAATTCAAGTCACAATAGCATCTCTGTCACCAAGTCTAATTCTTCTCATTCTATGTATGATGAAGAAGGTGCTGTAGGTTATAACAGTGACCTTGGATCTCTTTCCTATCATGACTTAGAAGGGGCTGTAGGAGGCTACTATGCAGAACCCAGTAAGCTTTGTCACATGGATCATAGGAGTGATTCTGGTTTCCATGGGGATCTTACATTTCAACACATATTTCATAACCACACTTACCACTTAAAACCAAGCACACCAGAATCCACTTCTGAATCCTTTTCATGGCCTGGGAAGTCACAGAAAATAAGGAGTAAGTACCTCAGTGACACAGACAGAAACTTGAGCCATGATGAATGGTGTGCTAAAGCTCTGCATATCCCTTTTTCTGTAGATAAAATTGTCCGTATGCCTGTTGATTCTTTCAACAGCATGTTAAGTAGGTACTATCTGACAGACCTACAAGTCTCGCTCATCCATGATATCCAACGAAGAGGGAAAAATAAAGTAGCTGCTCAGAACTGTTGTAAACACAAATTAGACATAATTTTGAGTCTAGAAGATGATGTATGTAACTTGCAAGCAAAGAAGGAAACCCTTAAGAGAGAGCGAGCCCAATGTAACAAAGCAATTAACTTAATGAAACAGAAACTGCATGACCTTTATCATGTTGTTCTTAGTAGGTTAAGAGATGACCAAGGTAGGCCAGGCAATCCAAATCAGTGTGCTCTTCAGTGCAGTCATAATGGAAGCATTTTGATCGTACCCAAAGAACTGGTGACCTCAGGCCACAAAAGGGAAACCCAAAAGGGAAAGAGAAAAAGTGAGAGAAGAACCTAAAGACGGACTCCATTATGTGGATAAAGTAGTAATGCTCAGAAACTTATTATCTGGATCACAAACCACTGAAATTGCTTCAAGTGTTACATCTTTTAAGTACTGCTACCTGAAGCACTCCGTTAAGGCTACATTTTGAAGTTTATATGGACAAATATTTTGAACTTCAAGATCATAACTTATGGGGAATTTATAGAAAGCCACAACTTTTCACGAAATCCTGGTACCACATTGTATAAAAGATTCATAAATAGTTATCTTTAAAGAATAGGGTAATATGAAAACCTGGTATGACTTACCAGTCACTTTGGCAACTTTTTTTTAAAATAAGATGGTCACTTCAAAAAGAGCACAGGGGATCTAATTGTTTTAAGATGTATTTGTTTTTTATGACTTAAAATGTGAAGTAGCCTTATTTCCCCGTTAGCACTGTAGTGGGCTTTTCAAAAGCTATTTTAATTTTTATGAGTATTTAACTTGTAAATTTTTCTTTCTGTGGAAATAAATTTCATATTTGAATGTAAAAAAAAAAAATAACTGAGTTTGTGTCCATAGGTACTGATTTCTCCAGCGCATCAAAGATGCTCCATCACCCCGCTTGGCTGATCGCAAGAGGTCCTTAGGTGATCTTTTGGCAAGAGGAACATATGACTCTTAGGACATTTACCTGTGATAGACCTGAAGAGTCAGACACCTAATTTCCATGTATCTAAGAAGTATTTCATCTCTTCTCTTTATGGCTCCAATGCTGTTCTTGTTGGGGAACCAAGAACTCTTATCTCATCTGTCACTGTGATGCAGGTGTTGCTAAGGACGAGACTGATGGGAGCCCAGCCCCTTCCATGGAGCAAGTTGGGCCACTGTGAACAGGGTTAACAGTCAGGGAATGCCAGCAGCCACTTTTGGGTGCTGGTTCAAGTTTCTGCCCCACCCCATGGGAAATAAACAGAGGAAGGGTGGCAGCATTTTACTAACTGAAAGTGAGGCTCAGGCATTTGTAAATGTCTGAAATCAAGAGAAGGTTCTTATATTTAGGAAAATATTATATTTAGCAAAAAAATTAAGGATGCTATATACAATTCTGCTTTTTTAAAAAAAAATCAAACAAAAATAGTCCTCATATGTACCAAAAAATGAGCATTCTATAACAATAAATATTCTTAATTTGTTTTACATTTATTTCAGAAGTGTTTAGATTCTTTGTGAAACTACAAAAATGGAATCATGTGTAGACTCTTATATGCATGCCATTTGGTATTAGATGAAATAGCCTCATTAGTACCAATTCTATACTTAGTTTATGTCGGAGAATTTTTTGTTCAGTATTCAAGTATAATTACTTTCGGAAAATCATTGACTTCTTAGAAGTTATAACTTTGTTTATTTTAATACAAAACTTTGACGTTAGCAATTTTATGAAAAAATAAAATGTGCTAAAAATAAATGCTTGTGTGGCATGATTGGTAAATGATGCACAAAAACAGGTTCTTTTTTCCTTCAAGGCAATCAGTCAGAAAGCAGTTTTCTTCTCTTCAGAACCATCTACCTCATTAGCATTCAAGCTAGCTGTTGCTCTGATGATCATGTAACAGAGCGTGAGTGCACTGAGCAGGCCAGAGCTGGCAATAATAAACCATTCTTTTGTTACTGCAGTGTTGATCTCTGCTGTTCTAGGAGTGAGTTCCCTATCCTGAGGAAGAGGCGATATCCCTGAAGTTCGAAGTGGCTCAAGGCCAAGAGAGCTGTCACTAGTGAGGTCACCTAGGGCTGACCTTCAGTCAACTGCCTGGGTTCTAGTGAGCCTTTGCATATCAAATGCTACATTGTCGGTACACGGCAAATTTGGCACAATTCCCAGGGCCTTCAATATATTAAGTCTGCACATAGGACAGGTACAATGTTCACTAAGCCAGGGATCTATGCAGGATTTGTGGAAAACATGCTTGCAGGGGAGAATGCGAACAACATCGTTCTGCTTATAGCTCCCTATGCAGACTGCACAATGATCAAAGTCTGGGTCTGTTTTCTTATCGCCCTTTATTACTGTTCTGGTTGTCAATTTACTGATGGCTTTCTTGGCTGCATCTTCAAGACGACGCTGGCTCCTGTGGCATGCATTTGTGTATCTGATCTTCTAAATGAAGTAGAATATGAGCCACGCTGAAGAAATAATCATCCGAACAATAAAGGATATTGACACGAAGACTAGAGAGCCAGGGCTGAAGTTCTTAGGCGGCATTCGAGTTCCAACTGCTATCGTCATTTGTACAGAGATGTTTTTCTCCAGATAACTCAAAATATCTTTACCCCTAAATTCTGTTATCATGACAGCAATAATATCTCCAGTGCCTGGATGAGTCATGGTGACTGGCTCCTCTTTGGATTTATTATTGTAGATGACCACAGCAACCGCACTGTGGAAAGCAGTCCGTGATATCGTCTCTTTGAACGTGCAGTTTCCCCTCTGCAGCAAAGCAACCCACTGTTTAATGTTAGGAGGGACAAAGTGTAAGAACCGGTCCCCCTCGGCCCCAGGAACAGAGAAGCAGAGTCACCGAGGATGCAAATGGCAAAGGAGTTTATTTGCTAGCTCGAGCTAGGGTCCAAGTCTCAGAGCACCAACGCAGTGGCCTCCCTAGGAACCAGGACCCCGCCCCGGGGTAAAAGTGAAGCTTTTATATTTTTGGTTGCGCATGACACACCGGTGGCATATGATACGCTGAGCCCACCATCCCCTTTCCCCCTTTGTCCATTGGTTCCTTTAAAAGTGAAGGATTGTTTTGACCCCTGATTGGGTGGTCCCAAGCCTCAGGATTTTCAATTTTCGCGCCAGCGCCAGTTCTGATCTGCGTTTGGGGAGGGGGACTGAGACTTAGGCCTGCTCTAGGAAGTTCAGCCTGTCATGGAGTTACTCCTGCCCTGTTTTTTTTTGATTAACTATATTTGACTAACAACTAAAAGCAAGCACGGTTACAGAAGCAAATGGCATTAGTTAAAATCAAAGAGAACACATTTTTCTAATCTAAAACAGTTTCTGTTCCACACAAAACAAAGTACATTCTCCTACTATCAATTCCTGCCTTTCAAAAGAACCGTATTTGAGGATCACAGCCCAGATGATCAGCAACTCCGTGGAGGGGCAGCGGCACCAGCACCGGGCCGCGCACCTAAGCCTTGGGCGAGTGGAGCCCGTAGCGCCCGCGGTCCATGCGGAATGTGAGCGGGGTGCCGCGGCCGGGCTCCTGCACCGTCGCATTGATGAGTGCTGTGCAGTACTCCTGGCTCACGTTGTCCGCCCGCCCCGGCCACAGGCCGCAGGTCAGCAGCGCGAGCGCCGCGAGCCGGGCCAGGCCCGCCCGCGCCGCGCCGCTCATCGTCCCTCCGGCCGCCGCCGCTGCCGCTGGGGACCCGGCTCCGGGCCGGCGCCGAGAGGTTGGGCGGGCGCTGCCAGGGCTGCGGCGGGGGCGCGCACGCCGGAGCAGGAGCCTGAAGTTATAACTTTTTTATTAAATTTCTTTTCAGAAATTACACAACACCTACTCAAACCCACTGATGCAAAGATATATTAAGAAAAAGTTAATATTTATTCCCCTTGTTTCCTAGGTAACCAGAGAATCATTTCACATATTTCTCCACAACTCTGCGAATATGTGTGATGTTTCGCAATATTTTTACGGAATGAGTTTGTATTATTCACATTACCCTTTAACCTTTTCTTCTCGCTTAGCAATCATTCATGAATATTCCTCCAAGTCAGTCTTGGAGCTCCGGTCATTCCTTATCATAGCTGCAAAATGTTTCATTCTATGGTTGAACCACAGTTTGTCCAATTTCTGCACACCCGAAGGACATTCAGGCTGTGTCCAGGTATTGTTTGTTTGTTTGCTTTTTTGTGGCTGTTTATGTTTTCTACTACAAACAATGCTGTGACAACTTGGTGAATTTGATACAAAAACCTTCGAGTCCTGGTGCTGTTACTAACATGGGATAGATTCCCCAAAGCAAGCTTGTTGGGTCAAAGGGCATATGCGTTTTTATTTAACCAGTTATTGTTTGTTTTCCAAATGCTGTAGCAATTTATACACCCACCATCAATGAAGGAAAGTACATTTTTCCTTGAGTCATTGCCAATACTGGATGTTGCTGTACTTAACATTTTTGTCATTCTAATAGTTGTTGGTTGACTTTTAGATTAAAAAAAAGGCTCTGCAATCCTCATTGCTTTGTAATCGAAAAGTCCTGACTATAGTATTATAAAATATTCTTTATTTTATTATTTTTATTTTTACAGATACATAATAGATGTATATATCTAGGATACATGTGATATTTTGATATATTTGTATAACGTGTAAAGATCAAATCAGGGTAATTGGGATGTTCATCACCTTAAATACTTATATTTTCTTTATGCCAGGAACATTCACATTATTCTCTTCTGGCCATTTTGAATTGCACAATAGATTATTGTTAAAGATTTTTTGTTTTAAATATAAAAGTTTGCATATCCTTATTTTTCCCATCAGATTTTTATTCTGTTAACATTTTTATAAGATACAGAAAGCAACCAACATCACGTCACAAATATTTTCCAGATCTTGCCCCTATGCATTTGCGTTTTATAGATGTGGTTTAGGCACATTGCAATTTTGCACTTTTAATTTTTACAAAACATTATAAGTACTTTCCTTCTAAATGGGTGCTTAATGTTTTATAGTTTGTATCTATAAACTACTTAGTAATTCACCTACTGTCGAATGTCTAGGTTACTTTCTGGTTTAGTAAGTAGAGCTGTGAAGTGAAAATATTCATGAATGCAAAATAATTCTTCGTTGAGCTGATTTTTCTTTGGATCAATTTCCAAGAACAGAATAGCATTAAGTGTGTTAACAGATCTTGAAACATATAACCAAATTATTTTCCAAATGTGTTTGTACCTACTTATCCAGGCACAAGCAAAGAATTAGACTTCTGAATGTCATTTACTGATTTTTAAATAAAGACCCCAAAATCATTATTTTTAATGAGTGTTTCAACATTTTAAAACTATTCCATGCTACTGGAAACCAGTGGTTATCCTTGGGGGTGGTAGTAATGAGAAGAGGAAGCAAGAGAGTTCTGGGGCCCTGGTCATTTTCTGCTTCTTAGGAACTGATTGCTGGGTGTGTCCAGTTTGTGAAAACTATAAGAGCAGAACACTGAAGATGGAGC